TTATAGATTGAGATAGAGCCAAGATTCGTAAAATATTTGGGGGTTTTCCCAAAAGGAGTTTTTATCCTGATAAAGTTTTTTTAAATAGGATAAACATTTACAAGCTTAAATTCCCAAAATTTTTTACTGCCTTAATTTTTTTTTTTTTTTTTAGTTAGTTTTGGGGAAAAAAGGCCTTTAACCCAAAAAGGGGATCTTTTATTTTATAGATAAAAAATTTTTTAAATTTTGTCACAATGTCCCCCTTGGGAAAAAAAAATTTTTTTAAAGGTTTTGGCATACCCTTTAATCCCGGGTTTGCATGTTGGGAAAAACAATATTCTTTTTTTTGTATACACAGCCTCATTTTTATTTGTATAGTTTTTTTTTATTTAAACCCCCAATTTAAAATTACAAAACAAATAAATTTTAAAAAATTTTGGGTCACCCTTTGATTTTGTTGGTTTAAAGTTTTTCGGGGAAAATTAAAATGGAGTATAAAAATAAAGGACATTTGGGTTTTTTTGTGTTTTTAAAGGGTAAAAATTTTTTTTCATCGAGTGGGGTTTTAAAAAAAAAGTATTTCCCCCGGGGTGGCCCTTGGGCACCCATGGGGAAAACTTTTTTTTAAAGGGTTTAACCGGGTAAAAAATTTTTTTTTTTTTAAAAAAAAACTTTTTGGGGTCGGTTTTTGTTTTTTGTTTATGGCATTTTAAAAACATTTTTTGAATTTTAAAATTTTTTTTAAATATTCATTTTTTTTTTTAAAAACCAAAAAAAATTTTCCATAATTAAAAGGTGCAAAAAATTAATTATTGAAAACAAAATGAAGCCGGAGTCGAAAAATACACAAGAATAACAAATGGCTGGGGGATAATGACTAATTTTTTTGAGTTCCCGATTTGGGCAAAAAAGGAACCAGCCGCCCACTTTATGTCCACTGTGACATCATTTCCCCCTTGACAGCCAACCCTTTACTTGATAATCGTGAGAAATTGAGCATAATTTTAAAATTTTCTTAAAATATATTATATTTTGAGATCAGTATTTCATCCTCAAATAGAGGCAATTTTTACCCCTTCTTTTAATGTGTGTGATCTAATATTTAAATAGTAAACCAGCTGCAGAAACACAAACATATTTTAAAGTCAATATAAATACGAACATGTCAACTGATAAAATATCCTTGGTATTGTTGAACAAAAACAATTTTGTAAAAAAATGAAATTCTGAGACAAACAACAGCAATTACACAATAATAGTTAATTACTTTATTGATCCTTTAGCTATGGAATATATTAACAACAAAATTCGTTACAGATGTTTTTAAATAATAAAAACTTGAATCATTATCAATTAACAATTATATAAATCTTATCAAGTTGTTATAAAATGCCTCCCTTTTTAATGCATATATAAACGCATCAGTACCTAATATTTTTTCTGCCTTTTTACCTGGCATACTTCCCGGATGAAGTAGACTTGTGACGTCATAGCTGATGTCTAGTAAACACGTACTTTTCATACTTTTCATGTACTACAAATAGGCCACATGAAAACGGCTAGACGCAAAGGTTATAATTTTTGCGAACTTAACAGTTTCAATACAAAGCTATGTTACCATTTGTACTGAAATGCACTTAAAAAGATAACTATAATTTATCAATTACGCAATTAATAAAAGTAAAAGCAATTGTTATAACAATAGTTTTTATAGGATATATGATTATATGATGTAGTAAGATGGGAAAAAAAGAGCTGACAGCAATGGAGTATAATAACTATAAATCATTTTTCTTTGCATTTGGTACCAGATGGAAATGCTCAAATGAAGTGAACGTCATTTTTCTACTTAACTGTACAGGTTTTATAAAGATTAAGGAACATTTGTATGCCCCAAGATAATAAACTCAAATCTTTAAAAAGGTATGATATAGAAAACAGTCCTGTCTTTATTTCGAATTTATAACATTGTACTTTACGCTCTTTACTTTGACTAGAATTTACAGAATTCACAAATTTGCAGCATCCGTTTACAAAGAGAACATAAAAGCCGCGACTGTCCAATCAAAAGCTATGCTACAAAACATGCAGTACTACAACTTTCTTTATAAATCAAGAGGTCCGGTTAAACTTGAAAAAAATATGTTTGTATACAGTTGAACAGCTTTTAATAAATGTTACAGCCAAAAGAAATGACCTAATTCTAAGCAAAATGAAAAATTATAATTTAGAGATACAGTACATTTGTAAAAATCTTAAAACAATATCCTTCTCTTGAAAACACGTTAGTTTTTTTAACATTTGCAACAGCCTTTGTGAAAAATATCTCAAAGAAAAACGTCATACTTTTTTGCAAGTTCTTCTGAAAATATAACTTAATGATTTAATGGACTTGCAAATCTTATAACTTATTGTAAGTACACTACGTTATCTAATATAGACACACCCAGTACTGAATGAGCAACTGCATACTTACCTAGTATATATAATCTAAGACAATATTTTTAAAAAAGAGCTATTGTTCTTTTCAACATATACAGCTCTCTATATAAAATACATTGAAAAAAAATAAGTAAATAGGAAAATAAATGAGCCGCGTCACGACAAAACCAACATAGTGCGTTTTCGACCAGCATGGATCTAGACCAGCCTGCATATCCGGGCAGTCTAATCAGGATCCATGCTGTTCGCTTACAAACCCTATTACAAGTAGAGAATCTGATAGCGAACAGCATGGATCCTGATCAGACTGCGCGGTCTGGATCCATGCTGGTCGCAAACCCATTATGTTGGTTTTGTCGTGGCGCGGCTCAAATATTGTCAAAAGGCCACTACTTTCAATTGGACTATCAGATTTACGTTTGAAGAAGAATCGTAGTTATGTTCCAAAGCTAATAAAAATGTTTGTAAATTGTTTTTGTTCTATATATTCCAAGAGTGTTGTTTTATATAATATACATGTACATGCCATCATGATTTTTTTCACTATAAACGGTCTTTAGTTTTGATATGCTAATATGCTAATAACAAAATTGATAATAGAATATTAAATTCGTGTAAGTTCATTTCTGAATATGTTCAATTTGTTGAATAAAATAATATCATGCTCTCTAGAGGCTCGCATAATATAATTTTATTTAACTCGTTCAACAAATTCAGCCTTGAACTTACACTCATTCAATATCCTCTATTTCTTTAAATTAGAAATATAACAACATATCTATAACAAAATTTGTATACTTGAATAAATACAACAACTTATGTTATTTGCTGCAAAAGTGTTTTAATAATTGTTGGTACGCCATATGCAGTAGACCTTGTCAAAAAGGCATTTACAGGATATTATAAAATTACTGATTTTAAAAAAAGTATCTTTTCTATGTAAATGACATATTCGAGCACCATTTGTCCTAAAAGGCATACCATATTTATTACTTGTTTGAACAAAAATGTGTTTAAATGATTGAAAGTGAAGCATCTGACGCCAACAGCAATATGTGAAGGGAACAAAACATGGACGATTTACGTTGTAAACATGCAAAAACAACATTATGGCTAAATGATGCCGATAGTAAAACTCTACAAACAGTAGTAAAACATCAATTATTGCAGTTCCTGACACCTTATAAATACCAATTTTGTTGCATTTACACCAACAGAGACATTAACTTGTTTTATGTTTAATTAAAAACATTCTAACTTATAGATTTACAGATATTTTGCAGCAAAAAGCAAGAATAATTGCAATGAAACTTAAATGATTATTAATAAAGCTTGAATGTTTTCTTTTTAGAAAGATATACAAGCATCAAGTAATAGAGGAGTAACACGTGTGCGGTGACAAGCCCCAATTTCAAATTCACTGCCTAGAAGCTTTTGTATTTATTACAATTTCTTCATATATGTTATGTGAACGAAGCACCAAGTTATATGTCTAATTCTTAATAAAGAAAATTTATAATTTTCCATATAATATTGAGACATTAACATTTTTGTGATGGAAACATTAGAGTTAATTTCATCCAAACGGGTTTGTCTAACATAAGACTAAAATCAGAACTAAATTGCTTAACTTTGCCTGCACTTAGCAGTAATTGGACTGATTCTTTTTATATTTAAAAGTTTAGTTTAATACCCATTGTAAATAAGCTTTTCTTGCACAACATTTCCATGGTGTCTTTGATTGGGATTTACTCATTGATTAATGTGCCCAAAAATGGTCAATTGACCCCAAAAAGCAAACCTTTTCCTAAATTTTTTTTTTTGTAAATTATGATCAGAAAGGGCCAAAAAAGTCTCTTAATTACGATTATTTAAATTCACAACATTTCCATAAATCTCGGTGTACGGTTAATGAAAATGCAAAATTACGCATAATTATGGTGGTATTAATGTACGAGTAGGTTTGAGTAATTGTCAAATTGTGCAAAATTGTGTAAAAATCTGGAAAAGGGATAAACCCTCGGAAACAATTGAATCTACAATTTTATATGAAAATTGAAGACTCGATTAAATGAGAGATAATGTAAAAGTGCAACATCTCTCACGCTCCTTAGCACCGACTTAAGATTATTGTTTAGAAATGAGTAATGTAAACAAACCATCGTCAAAATATCAATAAAATATTTTAATAAACAAACACAAAGAGGTGTATACTGAAAATAAAACAACGAACGATATTTTTGAAGGAAAACAAGGTAATAGAAGAGATGTGATCTTGAAAACAATTCAAAAACTATGGATACCCACCTCATTGAAATCACGCATCTGTGTTGACAGAAGAATTGGCAGATGGCAAATAACGCACTGATTTCGGTTAATTTAACTTCAAAAAAACAAACATCTGTGAGAATTTATTATAATTGCTTGTTTCGCCTAGATCTGCTTTAATAATTTGATTCATTGCTGTTTCACATTCGACCTTTCTTTACAACTAATAACGTACTAGCGTATCGTAAAATATACCTGTAGAAAAAAAAATACTCGAGTACAAACCTATATAAGAGGTACCAAGCGCTGTAGTAAAATCATTTCTACGCGGGCATTAGATGTTCTTAGGAAACTTTGTATGACGCTGATTTGTGCTTTAATAGGCATTACGTTAAGGAAAAATCGTTTAATTTATTATCAGTTTGCAAACATAAGAAATAACATTATTTTATTTGCATTTAAGACTATTATCAGTGCTTTAAGTAGTTTGTCAATCTGATGGTGTTACTTTAATTAAGAAATAAATTATACACTTACATTCTGTCTGACAATGAATATTTTGAGATTTTTGCAACATTTTACAATAGTCCTTATTGTCATATTCCTGGCCGTTGACGGGAAACGAAAATCCAAAGGATCTAAAAGTAGGGGTGGGCAAAAATACAGCGGCAAATGTAAGCCAAAGATAATGGCCGAGTATGAATTAGCTTTTCACGGAAGTTGGTCTGAAGATTTGTACCCAAGGATGTTTCCCAAATATAGACCACCTGCGCAATGGTCAAAATTAATCGGTAAGTATTACTTTATGTTTTTTAATTTATTCATTTATTTATTTTTTTATTTATTTATTTATTTTGTATTTCTGAAACATTTCTAGCAGAGGGATTTTGTTGACCCTTTTCTGCTGGACTTTTTATAGCATGTGAATGCATTTTGTGAAGATTCAAAACTTATAAACTTATATGCTTTATGGAAGTAGATGAATAAAGCTAAAAAGTATATTATTTATATACCACCTTATTTAATCATAAGAAAAAAATCAAATTTCATCAGGTGCACATTTTTATATATAAAAAATATACCCGTCCTATAGGAAAATAGTATGTGAAATCTTATAGGATGACTAATTAATAACCGACATAACAAGTAAGTAAATAAATAAAATATGAGTAAGAAAAAAAAAATTAGATGAAAATAAATTATAAAGATGAAATAATGATAATGAAAAATAATTGATGAATAACTTATTTTCTGTATTATTTCCTCTTCTTCATTTGTTTTAGAAAATTATGCGTAAATGGTAGTAGTCTGGAAATGTCTTACCTGTATAAAATAAAAATAATAATAATTCTATTCATAATTCATACATTTCTCTTTTTTTTCGTTTAAAGGTCGGACTCATTCTGATCATTATACAATGTGGAGTGAAGGATCACTTGCGTCAGAAGCTGTACAGAAGTTTGCTGAAGAAGGTGACACGAGTGGGTTTGATTTTGAAGCACAAGCATATGGAGGAGTCAGGGACATGTTTACAGCGGCACCAATAAGAGCTGGTTTAGGCAAGACTGCAACCAATTTCATTACGGATGGTAGCCACACAAAGGTTCGTTTATATAACATATTTGATATATGTTGTTCAGCAGTTCTACTGTTGCAATCATAAAAACGAAGTTAAGAACAAACAGAGACAGTGGATTTATAGTATACATTTCTTAACACTATATTGACATTGTGATATATTGTAAATTTGTTACTTTAGAATCATACAAAAAAATGGTCTTGAAAAAATAATAAATGAGAGTTCTAACAGAAGATAACAGAGAGCATAATTCCAGACACCAAGTAATTTATTTTCCAGGTATCTAATTTATCGGTTTATAATTCACAGCTGGAGAAAATCCAGAGCACATTTTGTTAATACTATGAATTCTGATGTCGACAATTAGTTTCTGCTTGTATTTAGTTGATATTAGATTAATTTATATAAAGAATATGTTTCAGACAAAAACATGATGCTTCTGTTGAATTTTAATGTAAAACGGGACCATTTTATGCTGCTAAAATATACGTTTAACGCCAAAATAATGATTAAACCATTTATTTATGAGCAAATTTATTAATGAGGCATTTTGAATATCAAACACGTTTGTTCAGTTGCAATATCATGGGTTCGTTAACTCGTAAAATGTATCATTTGTTTGAAATTTGAGTGAATATATATTAATTACATTCAATATATTATTTATATGACAACAAAAATAAAGCTAATTTCAGACAACTGGTTTTATTTGACAGGTGTCATTTATGGTCAAGCTTATTCCAAGTCCTGACTGGTTTGTTGGCGTTGCATCGTTTGACCTTTGCGAGCGCAATCGATGGAAAAGCCATCTTAAAGTTGATCTATATCCTATGGACGCTGGTACAGATCGTGGACTAACTTTTACCTCCCCGAATTGGCCATCTAATCCGAAACAACCAATCTATATGCTGTCTCCTTCCTTACCTGCTCATACAGCCAGCGCATTCCTTTACCGTAACATGACATCACTTCCGGCAATAGCTAAAGTTTATCTAACGAAAGTGTCAGAATACAGACGAAAAGGAAAAACGCCACCAGCGATTAAACAAGAGAGGAACATGGTAATATTTGACAGTCTAGACAGTAGTAAAGTCATTCCAGAGCTAGAGAAAATCATTGACCGGACAATTACTCAAAACAAGGAGCAAAGACGTAATGAAATTGCAGCACCAGAAGCCGACACAAAAACAGGTGGGACACTCTCATAATTACTTTTATAGAGCGATAGTATGTAGGGCATAGTAAAAATAATAATGTTTAGTCTTAGCTTGTGTGTGGCTCGTTACAAATCTGTAAATATTTTTTAGAAATGCTTGTGTTGATTCTTTCATTGCAATTATGTCATCGTTAAAGTCAGTGAGCTCTGATTAGTTTACAAAACATCTATTTGTAATGGATGGCGCACATTTTGTATCAAAATCGATGCCAAGAAAATTTTGCTGTTCAGCAAAATCCACCTGGCTTAACTAACACATACATGCAACAGGTGCAGTATTTCCTTCAAGGTTTAGATTATCATTTAGTGTAGCGATATTTAATATCTTTATTATAACCGACTTTAGTGTACTTTTTTATTGTTGCACTTTACAAAAATATTAGAAATATTAGATAGAATTAAGCGATACAGTAAATTAGAGCTATAATTAGCTCTATTATCTAAGACGTGAATAAGATATAAAAAAGTTAATCAAAATACCAAAGGCGTTAAAGTAATTTAAGCTGTATATATTGATTTTTGCATCTACATTACTAAAGTTATTTTCTGTATTAATGAAAAGTGCACTGACCATTTTTGGTCACACTTCATTAATTTGCTTGAGGTTTTTTTCTGTATTTAAAGTCCAGATTGATTATGTAATATATCAACATATACCGGTTACCAATTTGGAAATTTTAAAAAGAAGAATGATATAGACATTGTAAGAAAAAGGATCAAACTAATCATTGGTTTGAAATATTTAAAAACAATCAAAAACAAATCGAGAAGTAAATGGTATTTGCACATGTAGAAGCTTCAGTAAAAAACGTTAAAACAAAAGATAATATAAATGCTAAGGGGTTGCGTTTTTTACAGAATCTTCTATTCGTGTTTTCAACCAATAAAATAAGTTTTGGCAATATTTTTGGTGTTCTTCTCCACCATTTGCAATGCATGTAGCAAATCTTTGCAATTATTTGTTTGCTTATTTCAGGAACAGATTCAGGCTGCATTGTATCACAGTGGACAGATTGGTCATCCTGTACAGTGACATGTGGCTTTGGTCGACAAGAAAGGCGACGAACTATCATCCGTAGAGCTTTATTACCAGGCCAATATTGCCCGGTTTTGAGAGAGGACAGGATTTGCGAGTTAGCGAAATGCCGATGGGAAGCTTTTAAGTTTTTAAAACATAACGGCTGATTTGAGAAATGACCGATTATTTAATTACAGCTAAATCACATTCCAGTATAATATATTCATCATTGATATCATTTTTTTTTGTCCTTTTGTTGTTATTTATTAATACATCTTAATATGTTTTATATTGTGTTAAATTAATGCTGAACTAAATAGTGCTTTATTCGAATTGCGAATAGAAAACTCTTTGCTTATTCCTTATACCAAATTTTAAAATCATACCAAAGATATTTTATCTGACTAATCAGAAATTTCTTTTATTGATGAAAAATAAACTATGAATTTAAAAACCATTTTGGTTGTTGATAAATATTACGATATGAGTGGTTCACAAGTACTTTTTCAAATTTTGTTGCAATACAGTTTTTTTTTACAGATAATTCAATATTTTGAATGTTGTGCAAGTGCTTATCATTTTTTTTTAATTTATAATTTTACGGGTCTTCTTTGTAAATATTGTATTTAACAAATTTTGTTGTATAATTAATAAGAATTAAATCGATTTTTTGCTTATTTAAGAAGGGCAATCTAAGTTTCGTTTAAGAAACAAAATGTTAGTTGTGAGAGAAAATACCAGTGATATCGAGGATGCTTCATTAAAACTTCCATCTTAGGCGAGCTTAAGTAAAAAGAGATCAAACAGATAAACATGTTTTAGCATTATCTATTTTTCAACATTGTTAAAAAAGACATTTACACATAGATACTAAAATCAGAAGAAAAAATAATTTGTGTATAATGAAGAACAATTCTTTTGAACTACAGCATACACTAGCTTCTAATCTACGTTAACACTTTTTATTTTTGAGTTTGTTGTTGTGTTTCATATGCTGTTATAATAAAGCAATAAACATTATAGATAAAAGAGACTTTCTTTCCTCGTCTTCCCCGTTGCATCCAAATTGTCCTCTTGCCCTCCCGGTTCCATTTATGGTGCCTTTGCTTCAGAAAATCATGATCGAGTCAACTCCATTTGTGTTCAGTCCGGTCTTATAATACGCCAACCAAGTCAAACATTATTTTACGATCGGTTGAATCGGTCCAAAATTTTAACACAAAATGCATAGGAAATATGTCTTCTTTCCTTAAAAAGAATCAAGAAAGAAAAACATGCAAACCAGTCAATTTGTTAGACTATCCAAATCTTTAGGAGAAATGCAATTTGTCCTTGATATGTTTGTTAGGTAATAATCAGAACAAGAGCCTAGCTTTACAATCATAACTGACACCGGTTATTTTTGGAGGCCTCCATATGGCTAAAATGTTTGGCAAAAGGTAAACGACTTTGAAATTTTATGTTTTATTAGGGAAAACAGCTGGGAAAACAGCTATGAATTTACAATGTAAATAGTTTCACACTATCAAGTCAAATGCATTTAATGAAAGTAAATTTATAAAATCATGACAAACATATTTGATATATTGTTGATATAGGAATTATCATTTATATCAAAAAAAAAAATTATTCAAAATTCGAAAATTCTCTTTTACGATACATTAATGTATTAATGTATTATTAAATTATCTTTTATGAAATTAATGGATATTCTTCAAATACGAATATTGAATATTCACCTTTTTCATACTTGTTTTATATCGTCTGGTTTACTGAATTCTAATGATTTGGCATTTCTTTTAGACCTAGTGAACTCTCTATTATACTTTCGTCTGTTTTACCTTCTGGCAGAACGCCTGCTTATAGTAAACTTATGACGTCATTCAATAATTCCCACAGTAAACATTATCAAGTGATTTCTTTGAAGTTGTTCGAGTCAGACATCAGTTAATTGGAAGTAAACAAAAGATCCTACTTGCTGTGTACTGAGTCATAGTTATTAATTATTAATTTTATGTTGATTTATTAAACAAGTTTTAACAACATATATTTGACAATGTTTTTTATAAGCAGATAGTTTCAAACACTTATGGTCTAACTTGATTTATATATAAAGTATTCATTTATACGATATTCCGATAAGCAAAATTATGATTGCTTAATATACTCCAAATCGTGTTTTAGCCATAGAAATATAAAAATGCAAATAGAAAAACAAAAACAAAAAACGACAAGATCAAACTTTGTCTTATCTTTGTGTTTTCAAAATACCTCTTTGTTTACCCTTTGATTGATATCTTTGTAACAAATTATTTACCATTCAGCGCTACTTTTTTCCGGGGAATCAATGATATGAAAAATATTATATTAAAATTATTGCTTGCACCTTCTAAAGAAGGAAAATATTTATTTCTGTGACAAAACATAATATTCGAATTATATGATACGTGATTATATATCTAAAAGGTGAATTATGCAATGTAAATTCATTAAGTGACTCATATTTTGCACTTAATAAACCCAGTCAAGACAGGTACTTAATTCTTACAATGTAAAGTAATTTTTTCTCTCGCATGGAGCATGGAAATATTGTATAATATTAAAACTAGGCTGCTTTTGTAGACAGGGCGGATACAACTTTTGAATAAAACTTAAAACGTTTTCGCCCTTGGTGGTAGAATAACAGCAGGAAAACAGTTTGGCAACATCTTTTTCAATCATCTATCCTGCAATCTCCATCTAACCGTGGGTTTTATCAGATTCTTGAAACATTATTATAATTTGTAATGCGCCATTTCAATAATATATTTTAATAATTGTGTGACGGTTCAGAACTATTTACTATTTAGGGTAGGAGATGTTTAAGCATAGCTTGGTCGGTAGAGCCGCTGTACGTATTCCGAGGGTCCAGGGTTCTAGTTCCGGTCAAGCTGAACATTTCCCATCCTTTGACATTTGGTGCCTAACGGGGGACCGTGACTGAATATAGCTCAGAGTTTAATTCACATCGTTCTGTAGCTCTGTGAAATTCGAGGACGAATTTCAATACAGCAGGGGAGTATGTCACGGTTCAGAACTGTTCACAATTTAGGGGAGGAGATAGCTCAGTCGGTAAAGCCGCTGTACGGTATTCCAAGAGTCCCGGGTTCAAGTCCCGGTCAGGCTGCACATGTTTCTCACCTTGTGACAATTGTATTAGCCAAAATAGTGCTGAAAACATAGACGATAAAAAGTAACCAAGAATGAACAATCGCTTTTTCTAAATTTCCATTTCTATATTGGCAAAAAAAATCTTGTTTCTACATGAATCTGATTAAAAGGAAATGACCTTACCTTTCAATAAAAATGTTGTTTTTTTGTAAAGGAAAAGCATAACTTTCTACAGCGTTCAGTTGAGACATCATTATCATGCATTTTATCATAGTTAAAATTGTATGTAAACAGATTCGTGAAAGATGAAAGTCAGTCGGCCCAATTGTCTCAACAGAAATATATAATTAAAACGAAAGCTAGAGTTGTTTAAGAAATGGTTTATAACAGCAGAAAAAAACAACAAAAACATTAATAATAATGATATCATAATTAAGCAGTTTATTTCTTAATTTAAACATTTAAAATTTATTTTCCGAGGAATAACATTCCAACATAGTACAGTTATAGTACACATCAAAATCCTATAGTTAAAGGAAATGATTAGAACGGAAGACATAATCATAACTTCTCCTCCTTTAGGTGATTTATCAAGTGTGTCGAGTTATGTACAAACTGATAGCCATATATTGTAATTTTAAGTAAGAAACAAATTATGAATAAAACAATATTTAACAAAATATATCAGGAGGCGTAATTCCAGACACCAAGTAATGTGTTTTCTATCGCTTTATAATTCTCAGCTGGAGAAAATCCAGATTATAGTTTGATATTAATATGAATTCTTTCATCGACAATAAGTTTCTTCTTGCTTTTAGTTGATATCTGTTTAAAAGGTTTGTTAAAATCATAAAACTGATGCTTCCGTTGAAATTTTATGTTAAACGGAACAAGTGTATGGTTTAAATACGTTTCACGTCAATTAAATGATTTTACAAAATGCTAATGAGGCGTTTTGAAATATGAAAGCCCGGTTGGGAATATCATAGACTCTTCAACTCATAAAATCTACCATTTGTATAATATTTAAAATATACTCAAATATGGTAACAAGTAAAAAGCTACTTGATTTTATTTATCTTTAGATCTTTGCTACCAGGTTAAGATTGTGCGGTTTAAAACTAAATAGTATTAGCGGTTAGCTAAATGGTATTTGGAATTGGGAAGTTTTTAAAACAGAATAGTCGAGTTGAACCGAAAATGTTCGACCAGTACTTCATTTCAGTGATGTTTCATTTATATGAGCCTTTGGTCCTTTGGTCGTTGAGTCTATTACTGTATTGTGAGTGAATACTGCTTGAGCCAGTGAGAGGTGTTGCACTCTCCAAAAAATTGAATTATTGCGATCTGTGGTAGAAATGAAATTTGTCTTTAATATTTTTGTTTAGTTTACAGAACAGCAACCAGCCTTCTAATAAGAAACAGAAACTGGTGTTTTTGGGCCAACAGATGTTTAAATTGCTGACGATAGGTAAACGAACGGTGAAAAGTCAAGGTTTATTAGAGTAAACACCTATCAATTTACAATTACTCTAAGCAGTTTAAGCAGTTTAAGTACTAAGAATAAAATATGTTCATGTACATGGTCAGAGGTAAAAGTATCGTTTGTTACTTGACAAAGGTGTTCTGTAAGCTAATCAAGGGGAAAAAACACTGAAGTGAAAATAGGGAATGTCGGGATTTTGTACTTGCACGCTGCATTTTCTCCAAACTTGCCTGGCAGTGTATGAAGATTGGAGAAAATCGCTCAAAAGTTGTTTGAGATGCTCCGGGTAAAACTTTTTCAAATAAATTTGATAAAAGGAAATAACTGTAAAAGTGGGCAAGATAAAGTTATTGTTCTTAATAAATACGTTACAGGAAAAAATCTCCTTGAAAAAATTATATTCAACATATATAATGTAAAAAAAACAGTTCTGGCATACTTGTTTTATATTGTCTGGTTTACTATAAAATTATAATGAGTTGGCATTTTATAGACCTTGTGAACTTTTACTATACTCTCGTCTACTTTCTCCTGGCACGATACCTGTCTATAGTAAACTTATGACGTCAGTCAATGATTCCCACAATCAACATATCAAGTGATTTCTTTGATATTTCCGAAGTTCACGTAAGTCAGTATGATAAATATATCCTATTTGTTGGTTATGAAAACATCGGACTTATTTTAAGCTCGTTTGTTAAACATGCTCATACAATATACATCTATTATTTACAAGTACTCTTTCTGGACTAACAAGAACTGGTGAATTAAGACAGAACATAGTTAATTCACCATCACGTATTGTGTCATTAACGTGTTTAACTAAACATAAACATATTTACAGAAAAAGTCCTTCTATCAAATCTGAATGTTCTAAAATAGTTAAAGCCTAACTAGGACTATATAAAGTTTCTTAGTCTTAACATGGAGTTTCTAAGCTTTAATTTGGACGGGTAAGGTTTATCTATCTCTTTATTAGAACTTAAGCATTCTTTATTATGTCTTTGAAACTCCTAATCAGGACTAATAAACTTTTTATTCGTAATTTATTATTTGTAAGTACTAATTAGGTTCATATACTCCTAATATGGAGATTTTTAATAAGTTTAAGATTAGGCACCATGGAGCTTCGTTATATAAGTTTAAGCTGCTCGTTAATTAATCATTTCTTAGGTGTTATGTTAGTATCAATCCTTGGGTGCATATTGCCAACTAAGTAACCTCTCCAGTATTAAAATTTGCGTTTGTTACTAACTAAATAATTTTTCGGAAGGATTATATATCTAGATACACAAGACACTTTATTTATTTTTTTCTTACCTCAATATTTTACTAGTAATTTTGTAAAATTATTTTTGTTACAAGGCTTCACTTCTTATGAATATTGTGTAACTG